TTCCAAAAACAAGGAAAGGGAAAGCCAGCTGTTTATAGTATAATTATATTATTATAGATTTGTCTAACTATATGCATACATACATACATACATACATATATATATATATATATAAACTTAGTGTTTAAGAGAGTATCGGTATAAAAGATTTGGATTCTCACGCAAGGGCATATTTATTTATTTATTTTAGTATACTCAGTTGGACCAAAATTGACCGATAAATAATTAAATATTTTTCAAAAAGACTACCCTATTAACACTGTGTTGTAATAGTCATGTAAATTTAATTTAATTTTTTTTTCATTTTGAGATTTCTCCTTTGAATTAATTTAATTTTATATATGTATACGTATGGGGAATTAAATAATTAATAATCATAGATATATAAATAGTTATTATAAAAACTTAAATGGTACAATCAAAATGTTTATTTTATTATCTTATATTGTACTTACACACACACATATATAAATATAATCACTTCTTAATTATAATTAAGGAATTAATTTAAAAGCATAATAACAATTTTGTCAATACTCGAATTACCTCCACATGATGACGGTACGTACAGCTAAGGAATGCTCATTTTGTCTGAAAAATCGATACATATATGTGTTTGTATGTGACGAAAGTCAACTCTATGTGCCATATATATATATATACACACACACACACACACATATATTATCTTTCAATGTCATAGCCACATATATAAAAGTGTGTATCTAATTCAAGCTAATTATAACATGATTGTAAAGGCAACTATTTTTACATATTGATTAATAATTTACAAAAATAATTACTATAATAATGTTAATAAATAAATAAAAGTAAGGTTAAAAGAAACGAGAGGAAATTAAATATAATATATATATAAAATTTACTGAGGAATAATAAAGTTGGCATCTTACTGAATTGGTGGAGACAGTCAGTAGACAACTTAGTGATCCCATGAGCCCGATTATTGCCTACTTGTCTCCCAATATATAGAAATTAAGTATACGTATGTACTGTGTGTATCAGCTTTAATTAATTAATTAATTAGTTTTAATTATCATTTATATTAATTTAAATATGCATGACTACATGGTGATTGTTATTTAATTGTTTTTTTTTTTTTTATAAAAAGAAATAATTAATTAATTAATAAAGGAATTGTCGCGTAGAGTATGGAAATTAGCATGCGTGCAACCAGGCGTCTTAATCTGTTAGTTCCTCGTGAAACCATGTTGCTCCTCCACATTCCTGCTTCCGCTCCCCATAATCCCAATCATATCAATATACATACCTACCTTACATACTAAAGGTTTATTATTATGACATCATAAATTATTC